CAACATTTCAATTCAACAACAACATCATTTTCTCTCTTGGAAACACTACAATGAATAAAAATCAAGATTTCAATTTTAGTCTCTTTCAATTTTAGTGCTGAAGCCTTTACCCTCCTTCCCACTCTCTCCCCTCACCATCATGTTTTCCTTCCCTCTTTTCTGGAATGACAAATCAATTTTAGTATGATTAATGGAGTTCACGCCTTTGTAGAAACTCACACTTCAAATCCAAACAATATATAACTTCAATTCTTTATTTATTTATTTATTTATTTATTTATAGTTCTTATTTAAGATTTGATTGTTTATATTAATAAATAATTAGTTATAAAATATCTTATATTACTTCTACAGACAAATTTTGATGAAAATAGATGATGAAAGGAAATTGAGACTACAATAAAAATTAAAGGAGTTTATTGATACAAAATGCTCTATCCGTGAACTTAGGATGGAAATTAAAATTTGTTTGTTTTTACATGTAGATAGAGAAAAATTAAACATCTATGTTGTTTAAAACACTAGCATATTTAATCTTAATTTTGAATAATAAATATTATTTTTATAGAGAGACTATAAGATAAATATAAAATCTATTTTATTTTGATCGAAGAATAATATAAATTATATTTTACAACTTAATATAATAACTTGAATTTATGGATTAAAATAGTTATTTAATATAATATCAAAATTTTGATAATTAAAAGATCACAAGCTCGAATTTCACTATCACATTTTAATTAATAAAATTAAATATAAAGTAATGTAGATTTTATAAATTTCAAATTAAAAAGAACTTTTATTTAAAAAATATTAAAAAATAATATAAATTATATTTCAAAACCTTACATAACATCTTAAGTTTTATAATTAATATTCTAATTAACCAATTAAATAAGAATTCTAAACACAAATCATTTTTATCTAAAAATCTTTTCTTGTCTCTCAACATGTATATATATAACATTGGAGACTTAATGATCATTGGTATACACTACGTTGCAAGTTGGATTAATTTATTTTTAACATAAAAAAATTAAGATTTTACTAATGTTTTTTTAATAAAAAAAATTATGAATTGTGTGGAGATTAATTTATATGACTCGGTTGATTTGACAGGTCTAAAACTAACTTAAATAATAGTAAAATATAATTTGATTTAAAATAAATATTTAAGAAGAGATTTTTTATATAAATATTAAAACAAATAATATATTTAATTAATTAATATTAACCCATGTTGTTGAATCATAATACTATAATAATTTTATTAAAATATATTAAAATAAATTATAAAATTTCATTTTGACTCAATATTAAAAAATAGTAAAGAGTAGAGCAAAACCTGCCTTCCTCTTCTATAATTTTTTATTAATGTTGAAAAAAAAAAACAGTCGTCGTAGTTGGTGGCCTTCTATAAAGTTAGATGCACCAAACGTATTCCACCATATGAAATCCAAGAGCACAAATTAGTGGAACAGTGTCGCATCAAGTGTTTTCTTTTATCGAGATGAGCGATGAATTGAACTTAAATTCTTAAAGCTCTGTTTGGCATAGAGGCTAACAGTAGGGGAGATGATGTGAGCTTTTATGTGATCTAGAAGTTTTTAGAATGAATTGAACTTAAATTCTACGTATTTTTTTTAACTTTTATTTATTTATTAATAAAGACTCATCATAATTTGGAAAGCAAGTTCAAAGAAAACAAAAGGAAAAAAATGCTTTAATAATATTTATGCTACTAATTATGAAAGTAAAAAAAAATTAATTTGAGAAAATTGTATAAGAACTTCATAATAAAATAAATAAATATTTTATTTTTATTGAATATCTATAAGGGATTTTTTTAAAACATGATATTGTATATTAGTTTTATATATAATCATTCATCAAATAATTACTAGCATTGCCATTAAAAACATGAAACATTATCATTAGAAATCTCTAATTTAATTCGAAAATATTAGATTATTTAATTATTTTAAAATATCAATATAATCTTTTAACTTGAATTTTTTTTATTTTAAAATAATAACAATATATATATATATAAAAAGAGACAATCATAATCACAATAACACATGAGCATAATAACTCATGCTCATGCAATTAGCCTTACAAAAGAAAAAGCCAAGTGTGTTTGAATCTGGTAACTTAGGTTTGCATACCTGTTTATATATATATATAAAACATATTTTTCACTTGAGTTTTTTTTTTTAAAATAAACATTTTATTTGGACAAACAAAACGTACCATTCACCATATCAAATTATAATCATCTTTGATTGGTAAAAAATCAGGATCCTAATAATCTAGACCCAAGAACACGGATATCAACATATATTTTTCCTAGTTTTCTATTTTATAAAAAATAAAAGTGATTTGTTTATTCTTAAAAGAAAATTAAAAAAGTCGTCAGTTCTTGACCAATTTTTTATTAGGTTTTCCTGTAAGTTTATATACCTCAAAACCATTAAAAATATTAAAAAAATGAAAGAATTGAAATTAGAAAAATAAAAAAATAATATAAAATATATTTATTGGTCAAACAAATATGACTAAACTTAAAGGTGTCTCGAAAAATTCTCACACCATATCAATTTCAATTCAGCAACAATAACATCATTTTTTTCTTTCATAAATACTACAATGAATAAAAATCAAGATTTCAATTTTAGTCTCTTTCAATTTTAATGTTGAAGCCTTCGCCCCTTCTCACTCTTTCAATAAAGATAACCATAAAATAATTTTTTTAAAACAATATAGAATTATAATATCAAAAAATATAATGAGAAAAAAAAATTCCTAACCATATTAGCATTTAAAACTCGTGATCTATGTCATTAAATTGAAAGTATTACAAATAAAAAAACTGTGAAACCCAATCCCAAATAAATCAAATATCTGGGGAAAAAATTAACCACGTAAAAATATTTAATTAAAAAATAAGGATGAAAACTAAAATAAAAAATAAATTTGAGGGCATTTAAAAATTATATTGTAGGGTTAAATCGAAAGAAAAAAAATTAAAAAAATCAAAAGAATGAAGGCTAAATTAAAAAAAAAAACATAAACTTTGATTTAAGGATGAAATTGAACACAATGAAACTTTAACAAAAAATCAAAGGGTAAAAATAAAAAATAAAAAAAATAAAGATCAAATTGGTGAAAACAATATATAACTAATTATAATTTAAGAATTGAATTGAAAACATAAAAAACTTTTCTAAAAGGCTCAAGGGTGAAAATAAATGATAAAAAAATATAAGGAATTAAATTGAAAAAAACATAAAAAACTTTTCTAAAAGGCTCAAGGGCGAAAATAAGTGATAAAAAATATAAGGAATTAAATTGAAAAATAAAAAAAGAACAAACATACATTTTAATTGAAAGAGAGAGAAAAATAAGAAGAAAGAAGAAACGGTCACCGGAGATAAACTATTGGGCCACCATCGACATGCTTTATATCAGGAAAAAGAGCATGTAATGACACTTTTAGTAACATGATGGAAGGGCCATTTTTGAATAAATGATGGTGTCACACACATCGTCGAAAGAGCGCGAACACGTCGACATATGGAAAACATGCGCGCTTTTTAAAATTTAATATTAAAGATAAATGTTAAATTACTAAAAAGCCCCTCGTAACCCTAGAAATAACAAATAAGCTAACGTGAAAGTACCAAAACACCCTTGAATATACAAAAGCTATTTTGTTTTATCTAAAGATAAATAAGTATTTGACTTATTTTAAAGTTTGTTCAAGGTAAAAAAACTCTTGGTCAACAGGTTTAAATTTCCTTAACCTTGGGGATATAAGAATATTTTTACTGTATAAAATAACTTGCAAAGATAATAATACTCATTTTCAATCTTTTAATGACCAATAAGTCAGGGTAAAAAAACTTAAATACCTCGTGTCCCAACATTCTAACTTTTCAAATGAGTACAATAATAAATTCACTGTAGCAATCCATAGTAAATTTAGTCTATTGCTATAGTGAATTCATAAGGTATTTTAGAGTTTTGATTAATGATATTCATAAAAGAAAATTCATATTTATTTTTAACTTAATCTTGTTTTTTAATTCTAAATGATTGGTTGATGGAAAAAATTCTTTTTTTCTAATAATTGTTTCATGAATAAGTTTTATACACACACATATATATATATTCCATTTTTCTTATTTTCTTATTCTTTTTAGATAAAATTAAGATATTAAAAAAATTAGAAATTAAATTGAAATTTAAAATATTTTATGTTACTCTTACCAATAAATTTTGATGAAAATAGATGGTGGGAGAAAATTGAGACTACAATGAAAATTAAAGGAGTTTATTGATATAAAGGCTTTATCAATGTTTTTTCTAGTAATTTTTTTTTGAATTATAAGATTACCTTGACAAATTTAAAAATAACTTAAGAATCATAAAAACATTATTTAATTAAAAATAAATATTAAAAATAAGATTTTTTTAATAAAAAATAAGACTTCTTCAACAAGTCTCTCTCCTTCCTCAAGATCCAAGGATTTAAACGCAAGAAAAATAAAGTTTTAAAACCAAGTGTCAAAATTAAAAACATAGGAATAAAATTAGGAATCCTCAAAACCTCAGGACCTAAAATGTACTTTTCCTGAATAGAGAAAATACCAGACCAGTCCACACTGAAACAGCGTGGGAAGCCACAGTAGCGGCGAGTGGCGAAACCCGTAATTGTAATTGTAATCGGTGGTGATAATGGCAATGAAGTCAATACAGCAAAAACCAAAGGGCAAATGGGAAAGAAGAAGGAATGTAAAAAAAATAAATAAAAAAAATCCCTATCAATTCAGCAGAGATATCTCATCTCATCAATATCTAAAAGGCTGTTATCCTCTGACCACCACCCAAAATCAAAGTCAAAAATCCCAACACCAACGCTATAACTCACTTTCTCTCTCTATCCCTCTCTCTCTCTCTCTTGCATATAATTTAACATAACATAACCTCACTTATAAAGCACTCCTCTCTCTCTCTCTCTCTCTCTCTCTCTCTCTCCTTGTTCTTGTTCTTCTTTTTTTTTTATCCTTTGCCAAAACAAACAAAAATGTCCAATCTGCATCTCCATTCCTGTACACTCTCACAGTTTCAAGATCCAACTTGTGTATAGATAGAGGCTGAGAGAAAGAGAGGTCAGGCTTGTTTTTGTTGGAGGAAGTGCTTGATAAGTTTAAGATCTGAGAAAGAAATGGGAAGCAAATGGAGAAAGGCAAAATTAGCTCTTGGCCTGAACATGTGTCTTTATGTCCCTCCGACTGATGCTGAACAACGTGATTCTTCCTCCCCACCTTCTCCTGCTAGACTATTCTCCCGCTCCTCTCACGGGCCTACTACTCCTACCCCATCTTCTTCCGGCCTCCGCTTGTCCACATCCCCCGAGAGCAACAATAAGGTAATAATGATATGTTGTTTCTGCTACTATTTTTCCTCTTTTTAAATAAATAATATTATTATCATGAAGGGTTAATGGGGTTTGTTTGTTTGTTTTTGCTTGCCTTGCCCTGCAAATCTTTAAGAATATTGGATTTATTGTTTTGGTTAGTGTTAAAGGCATGTAGTATGATTTGAGATAATTTTATTGGTGCTGCTGTTAATGTTAAGCGTCCGGTCTATTCGCAACCTAGCTTTTGTTTTTATCAGACACTAGTCTAATCTAGTTTCAGGGTGGCTTGTCAAGGTGTGGGGTATATATACAAATGGTGGGTGCATGTGGGTAGTAGTGATATGTACAATACACTGAATACTTGTGAAGAAGGGGGCATGTTGTTATTGTCATGTTGTTTTCAACTCTTTCTATGAGCTTCAGGCCCCTTTTGTGGGGTGATTGAGTTTTAAAGTGGAGAAGTTCCTTTAAAGGACCATTTTTCGCTTTGGCTTATTAGAAAAGTATTACTGTTCTAGCGTCCCATTACCAATACCACCACTCTTGTTTGTTTTGCTACTGTTTCTCCTTTCCCTTGATGGGAAAAAAGTGCTTTGTCTGGTCAGCACTGCTTTACCTTGATCGCACACGATATCATGTTTTCTCTCTATCTCTCTGCTTTTGATGGCGAGTTAGAGAGGATAAAAAAAATTAAAGAAGCCTGTGGACCGTTGATTAGGAGCTATCCAGCAGCAATCTTCAGAGAAGTAAAAGTATCGGGGAATCAAAGAACTGACAAATAAAAATAAAAAAGGAATGAAATTCGGAGCAAACCCATTTTACTTCTATCCTTTTGATGAGTTCTGCACTAACATTATTTTTTTAAAATTTGCGTTTTTGGGTTGTTTTCTTGAAAGCTCCTCCATCATTAGTTTGCTCAAGAGTGGCTTGATTATTATTTTTTTATCATTAGTTTGCTCAAGAGTGGCTTGATTTTTTTTTTTTTTTATACTTTTGAAAAGTCATCTACTATTGATTATTCATAATTTGGCATTATGCCATTTGCAAGGCTTTGACTGCCTAACATTGACTTCTTTTTCGGTTGGTTAGCTGATTCACCGGGACACAACCCTGCAGCTTTGTAAATAATAATAATAATAATAATAATAATAATAATGTCATTCTGGCTTAAGCATCCCTCAGTGGCTCAGGAATTCTGATGTCAAACCTAAGTATAACAGGAACATGCATTGGAATGCTCTTTAGTCTAGAAATACGTGTCAAAATCATGTAGACATCTACCACTTGATTATTAGTAAATGTGCCATTCAGTGGTTAGCAAAATTTCTCGCCTTCTCTTGAATATGATATCTATAGCTGTGATTGTTTAAACTTTTATTTGTCTGCAATCTATATGTTTGTCTATGGGATCTTTTCTCCTCATAAGACCGTCCTTCTGTACTGCAGAGGACCTGTGCAATATGCCTGACTGCCATGAAAACGGGGCAGGGCCAAGCCATTTTTATGGCAGAATGCTCCCACTCCTTCCACTTCCATTGCATTGCCTCTAATGTGAAGCATGGGAACAAGATTTGTCCAGTTTGCCGAGCAAAGTGGAAAGAAATCCCCTTTCAAAGATCTGTTTCTGATGTTACTCATGGAAAGCCAAGAATGAGCGCGCTAGGTTGGCCCCAAGATGATGCTTGGATGACTGTTCTAAGACGGCTTCCTCCAGCTCGAACGGATGCAAACAGGCATATTTCATCACATTATCAAGCCATTGAACCAGCTATCTTTGATGATGATGAAGACTTGGATCCTCAACACGAGACTGCTGAGGGAAACACATCCACTAAAGATGCTGGTGATGTTAATTCTGTGAGAACTGTAGAGGTTTTCACATATACAGAAGTTTCAGCAGTTCCAAAATCAGTCTCTTATGATAATTTCACCATACTAATCCATCTCAAGGCCCCTCTTACAAGTGGAAGACAGAATAGGAACTGGAATCATGCTGAATCACCACAATCATCTCAAGATTCTCGCGCTCCGGTTGATCTCGTTACCGTGCTTGATGTTAGTGGCAGCATGTCTGGTACAAAGCTTGCTTTGCTAAAACGAGCTATGGGGTTTGTGATCCAGAATCTGGGTCCATCTGACCGACTGTCTGTTATTGCCTTCTCATCCACAGCCCGACGCCACTTTCCTCTTCGTCGCATGACAGAGACCGGAAAGCTCGAGGCCTTACAGGCTATTAATTCTCTGGTTTCTAGTGGTGGGACAAACATTGCTGAAGGTTTAAGGAAAGGTTTCAAGGTGATGGTTGATCGCAAATGGAAGAATCCAGTTTGTAGCATCATACTATTATCTGATGGGCAGGATACATATACTATCTCTGGTACTAGCGCGACCCGTCCTCAAGCAGATTACAAATCTCTTCTCCCAACATCAATTCACCAGAATGGTAGTGCGGGGCTCTGTATTCCTGTGCATGCATTTGGGTTTGGTTCAGACCATGATGCTGCATCAATGCATTCAATTTCTGAGATTTCAGGTGGCACATTTTCATTCATAGAAGCCGAAGGTGTGATTCAGGATGCATTTGCACAGTGCATAGGAGGGCTATTGAGTGTAGTGGTGCAAGAGCTACAGGTCAAAGTTGAGTGTCTTCATCCAAGATTGGAAATTGGTTCAATTCAAGCAGGTAGTTACAAAAGCAGCATCATGACCAATGCAATTATGGGCTTTGTTGATGTTGGAGACTTGTATGCTGAAGAAGAAAGGGATTTCTTGGTAACAGTCAATATTCCAGTTGATGGTACCAGTGATGAGATGTCATTGCTAAAGGTCAGTTGTACTTACAGAGATCCTATGACAAAAGGTATGATGACTCTTGAGGAAGCTAGCCAAGTAAAGATCCAAAGGCCTGAAATAACTGGAACACGAGTGGTGTCGATGGAAGTAGATAAGCAACGAAACAGACTCCGTGCAGCAGAGGCAATGGCTGAGGCTAGAGCTGCAGCTGAAAATGGTGATCTAGCTCGTGCGGTCTCTGTCCTGGAGAGCTGTGGCAAAGCATTGTCAGAAACTGCATCTACTCGGGCAGGTGACAGACTGTGTATTGCACTGTGCGAGGAGTTGAAGGAGATGCAAGAACGGATGGCAAGCCGGCAGGTATATGAAACATCTGGAAGGGCTTACATTCTATCAGGTTTGAGCTCACACTCATGGCAAAGAGCAACTGCGCGAGGTGATTCCACTGATAGTACAAACCTCATGCAAGCTTACCAGACGCCATCAATGGCAGACATGGTAACCCAGTCTCAGACCATGGTATTTGGTACCCCATCTTCTCAACGGAAACTTAGGCAAACTATGTCATTTCCAGCTGCCAGACCACGGCCAAGGTAGTTTTTGGTGGTGTCCAGAAATTCTCCTCACGTATAATTCCATATCCATGAACCTTTTTTGTTCATTTAAAATTTTGTTTTTCCTCTTCATGTCAGTTTGTATCAAGGTTAGATTGGAAAGGAAAGGGGGTGGGGGGTTTGGTATTTTGACAATTGTGGGTGTATTTTCCTGTCTTGCTATGTAAATGAATAAGAAAAAATGGGGGGTGTTTCTCTGAGAGATAAAACAGTGAAAAGAAAGGTGGTGGGGGTCAGGTTCTTACTCATGCGCATCATGGATGATGATGTACATAAGGAGATTTGATGTTTTATTTAGTATAGCCCGCCCTGTAAACTGTGGGGATACTCGGGGGGTGAATTCTTCTCTTAAATATATGATATGATTTATATATATTGCCCTCGATTCTTTTCATGACTTTGCTACCATTATCGGATTAACAAAATAGAAATTAAATTAAATCTTAGACATGCTTGGACACAGATTGGATTGCCCTTTGAGATTTCCGTCCTCATCTGATCGAAATATATATATATTTTTTTTAATGTGTGGTCAAGTGTCCAAAATTCTCGTCAGATTGTGCAGGCGTCACAACTTTTGATTGTTGACTAGCATTCAATAATTTTTTTTTTTTTTTAACATTTCATTCAAGGAGCTTAGCATGGTAATGGACTCGGTCCAGTTATTCACCGCCTGGGTTAGAACATAACATTTTATAATCTTCTGCGAGAACAGCAGGAGGTGGACTCAAGAAATTATTTCGTGCCGTGATTTTTAACATAGTTGACCATGTAATTATTATTATTATTAAAAGGAATACAAATGATATATGCTTACTCCTATTGGAGGCCTTTGTGTATACAAGGTTTAGGGTAAATTTAATATTTTGCACAGTAAATTAATTATGTGATGGTCAGATGATGGATATCACTTGGGGGGATGCCATGTTTAAGTTCAACCCCACCACTCGAACTTAGATTGGAAATTGGGGGATGCCATGGTGGATATCATTTGGGACAAGCCCTTTGGGTCATTTGTTTTTTGGTTTATATATATAATTTTATTATTTAATATATAGTTTTTATTTTTATGTTTTGGTTTTTTGGTATGATTTCTCTCTTTCTAATTTCATCCTTTAATATGAAGATTTTGTATTTTTTAAAATTTTTTAATTTAATTTTATCCTTTAACAATAAATCTAAGTAAAAAGAAATATAATTTATTCTAAAATTATATTTTAGATTACAAGTTTGTTGTGTTTTAATGGCAATTTTATGAGAAAATTAGAGGTGATTGTAGCATCGAACAATTAAAAAAAAAATTCATATTATTTGGGTTAGACTCAAAATATCCAGCATAGTTATACTGTTTAGGCATGACTTAAATGACATGTCATCTCTAGGTTGTTTGGTCCATTACAACCTCTCATCTTTAGACCCAAATGACTTGTTACCTTTTGACCTTTTAGGCCAAACAATTTTTTAGGCTTTGACCTAGTACCTTTACTAGGTATACACCACCGACTAACACACACCAAATTTTCTATGCAAAGTACATCTATCTACTTTCTCTTCAATGGTTATTTCCTACCCATATGTCACCTCAAAGAGTATTTATCAAATACTCACCTCTTAACTAATAGTATTGTCAAGCACCACAACCAATGTTAAGCACCAATATTTTTATTAATGGTATGATAAGACATAACAATTAACAACTCAACTTTTCAAGTGCTCTTCATCATTATCCAATAGGTAAGATAATGCGATCAAAATATATAAATATTTTAGATCACTATGTAATTTAACATGAACAACAACACAACACAAAATCAAGTTTTCACAATAATAACCCAAACATAAAGCAAAGAATACCATACAAGGCTATTAAGCCATATTGTTACTCCTATATTCTTTCTCTTACACACTTACTATATTACTCATCTCCTCAATTATTTATTTTCATGCTCAATATACTTATCTTCTCTTATATTTATTAATCTGAGCATCAGAGGATCTCTTATTCTAATAAGGTACTTGTTTTTAGAAGAGCATGTGGAAGTTACCCATCAACTTATATGACTAATGGTTAAGCGTTGTCACCCACCATACAAAATTGCAACTGTGAAAAGCCATATGCAATCTTGAAGCTTTTATAACTTCATTGATGGCGCTCTCTATGATAAATTATACAAAAGTTACTTTATTATCATTCACACCTATAATAAAAAAAATTCTCTTCATAGCTAATGAGTTAGAAACTCTAGGATATGATAGAGTAACTAAACTCTCTACATTAGGTACTCCAACTCCTCCAGATCTTCACCAACTTTTCTGTTAATGAAAGTACTCAATGATAATGTTTTAACTACACAATGATAACATTGTATTCTCCCACTCCTTTAATGGGAAACAAATGCCTAGCTCCACTGAATGCATAAAGATAAATCCAATTCTCTAAAGGAATAAGTTAGAACAAATTAAAAGCAAATAGGTACAAGAACATTTATACTCTTAACTCTTTGAAGGAGTTGTTTCCTCTATAAAGAGCATTCCCTAGCAAGTCCTAGCCATAAAAATTCTATTGTTATTAACCTTCCTCCATATCCCACTCACATGTTCCGTGTCTAAAAAGATCTATATATGAAAATGAAATTAGTAACTACATAAGCTCTTGAGAATGAACATTGCCCTTATCATGTGGGGTATTATCCATTTTATCATTGCGTGTTATTATACACTCGTCTTTCTAAAATCATGTTTCTGCCAATAATAACTTAGAAAATTATGATGAACTTATAAATTCAAAAGAGAACAAAAGAAAAGGAATGAAACAAGATGATGATGATGATACTAAACTAGCAAAATAACACTAAAAAGAAAAGATAGTACCATGTTTACGTGGGTTGCCTTTCACCAAATGTGTTATTTAATGTATTAGCTAGATAATTTATTGTACATGTCACTGTTATAGTGGTTTAAGAAGATTAATAACCTCAACTTTCTCCATGTTGCTTTCAAGATAAGGCTTTGTTCGATGATCATTGGCTTTAAATGTTTCATTGTTTTTTAAATTTTTTAATTTCACTATGCTATAAGGATATATTTGAATAATCTCAAAAGGACCGCTCTAATGTGTTCTCAATTTTCCAAGAAATAGCTTTAGTTGTGAATTAGAAAGGAGGACTTTCATTTATGGTGCTAAGTTCTTGCAAATCAACTTTTTATCATGATACACTTTAGTCCTTTCCTTATATATATATTAGCATTCTTATAAGCTTCATTCTTTAGCTCATATAGCTCATTTAAGTCTCTTTTCTCATGCTTTATCTATATCAAAGTTGAGTGTTTTAATTACATCAAAAACTTATTATGCATTTAATATATGTTCATTCATCTATATTAAATTTCAATCGGGAATAATGTTTTCATCAATTCAAATCTCACAATCAATCACCATTTATAATCAACTAGGGTATTAGCTTAATTAATCTTATAAGTAATACAAAATTAAGATTAATGAATGAAATCAAAATCGAAATAAATGATTATTCAATTAGAGTTTATAACAATCTCTTTTTAATAACCCAATAAAAATTTTAGTTGTTTATAGTAAAAACTTGATGCTTCCAATATTAAACCTAATTTGATTTTTTTTTTGTTTCTTTATAATCCTCTACAAGCTATCACTATCGTGAAAAATTATCTTTTACCCAATGTCTTATTTTTCCACTATCTTTTTTTAAGGTGTCCACATATGTTTCTCTTTAAGTTAATTTGTTAATTGTCCTTCTCAATGCCAAACTAATTTGAAATTTTTATGGCAAGTCCTATGTAACACTCCTAAAAAACAAGCTCTTTTCATATGTGAAATCTTTCCAATGCCAACACCTCACTTTTCATTTCCATTTCCATCTATGCTAATGTCCATCTCATTTTCAGATTAAAATAGGTTTTTTTTTTAACTTGAAATCTGATTAGAGTTGTAGCTCTGGATGTGTAGATGGATATTGACTTTAAATCCCTCAATTTAAACTTAAGATGCTTAAGTTATAGGCTTGTAAAGGTTCAGTGCTCAAGTATAAAGTTTACTTGAGGTTTCAAGCCTAGACTTTGGACTAACGTTTGGTAGCCCAAACGAATTGGATTTTTATAAACCTAACCGTTCTGGAAAGCTTGAGATGTCCTCTAAAACTATTGTTGCAGAACAAATTTTAAGCTAGTAACTTATTCGATAACATAAATATTAAAACATCTTTTAAGATCATCCATTCAGCTATTTGTACTTATACCCAAAGATGAAAAACAAGTAAATTGCAAAAAAAAAAAAAACTAAAAATAAGAATATACCCAAAGATGAAAAACAAGTAAATTGCACAAAAAAAAACTAAAAATAAGAATAAACACTATATTAGGCTAGGAATATATGTGAAATTAAGCACTATATATATATATATATATATATATATATATATCATGTACGAATCTTTTTAGAGCTTATAATACAAGATAGTGGCGCCGTGTGCAAAATCCTTTCAACAATATTATATGGATCTACTTATGTGTGGTATCATAGTCTAGAGTCTAACTCCATCCTTAACTTTCAAAATCTCAATGTTAAAATCATCCCCCACTTTAGTATAAGAATACCAGCTAAAAATAGCACCACTAATCTTTTTATTATCACACAACAATAAGAGGTGAACAATCTATCATATCTTAAAAGGTTTTAACAAAAAAAAAAAAATACTAAACATGAAGAATTTACTCAAACTCATTGCCACTGAAATCCTAATTAATGAGGTCTACAATTACTTTTCATGGAAACCACTGTATACACTTCCTAATAAAAATCAATATAATATAAAGCAATGATGGTAAACCATATTGAAGTGGAAGAAACAAGTTTAACTAGATAAGAACACCCTTATTTCTAGCCATAAAAAACATAATCTCCTAGGTACCATTAATCTCCTATCATCCCTAAGGCAACTAAAAAGAATATTATCTGATCCATTCATGATCAAATGACATTCCCTAAGCTCATAAATGAACTTCTAACCACCATATATAGTAAGGTATTGACTATTATTAAGGGAGAATAATACATGTGATACCTAACTCCTATTAAGGTGATATAAATGCAAGAAACCCTAACAAGTCTTGTTTCTTTCACCATGACCATAATTATTGAGACATATTATGCCTAAATAGAAAAAAATAACATGATAGGAGGTTCCAATCAGATTATATATTGTTAACATGATTACATTAGTCATCTTATTCAATTAATGCTAATACTTGTAAATCTCGTCAAGCATTCATGATTATAACTTATGTTAACAATAAATCAAGTTCCTTTCATAGCTCAGGTGTCGGTTATACCATACATTATGGGCTATGAAAGTGCCAAGC